AGTAGCAGCAGTAGGAGTAGTAGTAGCAGCAGTCGTAGTAGTAGTAGTAGTAGTAGTAGTAGTAGCAGGAGTAGTAGTAGTCATAGCAGTAGCAGTAGCAGTAGCAGCAGTAGCAGTAGTAGTAGCAGCAGCAGTAGTAGTAGTCGTCGTCGTCGTCGTAGTAGTAGGAGTAGAAAAAGTAGGAGTAGGAGTAGGAGGAGTAGGAGTAGCAGTAGCAGTAGCAGGAGGAGGAAGCGGAGGACGAGGATGACTTGCAGTAAAGCAGCAATGAGTTGTCCTAATGGTGCCGGTACCAGTATCCGGTAGCGGTATGTACTTGCCTTAAACCCTAAACTCTAAACCCTAAACCCTAAGCCCTAGTTGCCTTGAGCCCGGCTTCCGTCTTGAGGCTTGCGAAGGCCTCAGCGCCGCTTATTTTGGTGATTCTTCGGTTGTCGTTTCAGGGCATCAGGGCTTGGGGGCTAATGAAACTCTCGGGCCTAAGCTTTGTTTGAAGTTTTGGGTTTGGGTCCTAGGATTGAAGTTGAGAGAGGGTTTGGGCTGTAAGGCTTTAGGTTTCGGCGTTCCTAAACCCTGAGCCCCGAAGCCCTAAACCCTAAACCCTAAACCCTAAAACCCCCGTCCCAGGCTGAAGGGTTCAAGAGAGCTGGCTGTCCGGATTTAACTTTAACAGGTTCGGTCCTGAGGTCTTGGATTTCGGGTCTCGCGCTTAATAGCTCGCGTTGCAGGAACTTTCGGAATTTGTAGTTTTTTGACGTTGATGCCATTTCAAGCTTGTCACCCCTAAACCCTAAACCCTAGGTTTAGGGCTTAGGGTTTAGTTTAGGGCTTGAAGCGTCGGAAGCTAGGGAAGCATGCCGTAAACCCTCGCGGTGCCCACCCTCAAGAGCCGGACCATTGCTGCCGGGCCGCCGCACAGAAATCGCGGGAATGCTACTAATGCTAGGGGCCTTAATAATTAGAATAGGGTTTTGGGGTCCGTTATACTATGAATATCATAAGGATACTATGCTTCTGCTTCTTGAGGTTGAGGCGGTTTCTCTGCGACACTGCTGGGGAAGTAGGATCTAGGAAAGGTACAGGGGAGAAACATTGCAATACTTCACATAACGAGGATCAAAGGGGCACAACTAAAACATCTTCAAGTTGCGCTGGTAAGTTGGGATGCGATGTTGTGGCAGAGGGTGCTGAGCCACGGCAAGCCAAGCGGCACGATGCTTTTACGTAGTCAGCTCAAGCCATGCATGGCAGGCAGCCCTAAACCCTAAACCCTTAAACCCTAAACCCGAAGCCCTAAACCCCAAACCCTAAACCGTGAGCCCAACCCCAAACCCTAAACCTGGATCCCTGAATCCGAAGCTCAACAGCCTTGAGGCCCTGAAGCCAAAACCTTTCAATCCTAAAGCCTTGAAGCCCTGCAGTAACGACTCTGAAACCCTTAACCCCTTAAGCCCTAAACCCTAAAACCCTTAAACCCTAAACCCTAAAACCCTAAAACCCTAAAACCCTAAAACCGTTAAACCCTAAACCCTAAAACCCTTAAACCCTTGAACCCTGAATTTGTGTTCAAGGCCACAAGCTCGACTGTTAGGCTTCGAAGCATCATACATATACGGCTAGGGACTCACGGCAACACGTAGCGTTTAGGGTTTAGGGTTTAGGGTTTAGAGGCATATACGGCTAGGGACTCACGACAACACTCTTGATAGGCATTGGTGATGACAGAGTTCCCCAAGACAGGGGAACAAACAACTGCTCATGCGGATCACAACCACTAGGGTCCGCATTACAAGGACCCGTGTGATGGGGTCCATTACCAGCTATCATGCCAGGCTTCGGCAAACGACCCCAGTCTCGGGAGCGTGAGAAGCGCACTGCTTGAGCATCGATGCCAACCTCTCGCATCACCGACAAGGAGCACCTGGGTGCTGTTCTTTAGTACTTAAAGGATCATGGGACTTAGTAAGTAGGGCTATAACTAAGGTAACTATACTTATATTTACTTATAACCCCAACTAAGGGACTTATAACCTTACTTACTCAGTCCCATGATCCTCCAAGTAGGGTA